AGGTATGGCATTCAAGAGGCTTCTGGCTCCTACAATCCCCTGATCACCTCTGCTCGCCTGGGCGTCGTTTCTGGATGGGCTGGCGGGGATATTTTTTGATTGCGAGTGACGCGGAAGAGGCCGCGCACCGCCAACAGGGTCGACCAGCGGAAAAAAACAACGTACTCAGTTGGTGCGGATACTTTTTTGGTCGGCGGCTCCGAGGCAGCGGACAGGGAGCGGAAGGAAAATGGGTGCGGATACGCGAAGCGTCTAGAGTTTGCGAAGGTGTTTCGCCTCGGGGACGACCCTGGTGTATTCAACGATGGATTGTGGCTTGGGGGACGCGACTACGGTGTATTTTACCACTGTGTGTTGCCTCGGGGACACAACACTTATGTGGCTTGTGGCCTCGTGATACACGGATTTGTGGCCTCGGGGACGCGAGCATTGTGTAACTTACGAAGAGTTATGGTTTCGGATACGCGATTCTTAATTATTTGTACGTGTCCCACGCCCCCCCCCCCCCCAGGGACATCAGGCAACGCTATCCAGGGGAAGCAAATTGCGGGTTGGGGGCTCCGCCCCTCTCGCGCGGCTATGTCCAGTCGGAGGCAAAAAGCAAGATTGTAACACTGGAGACTTGAGATTGCAATTTCTGCAGGCTGGGAGCAGCGCGCTTGGGCCCTCAGCCTGGTGGTCCCACAAAGGGGGCCGGCAAACGTCCATATATACATATATAGGCATGTATGTATGCAGATACATGTGTATATCTATATGTGTGTAGTTGCTTACATATACACACGTTCACATGTATGAGTATACGTATGTATGTACGTGTATATTTTTATATATAGATATATGTGTATATCGGTGCAACCATACATCTGTATACACTTACCCATATGTTTTAAATATGTATATACATATGTATATGTATACACGTTTACAATGTGTCAAAACAAGTTTGTCACTGATCTGTGTAAGCAACGTTTGCGTAATACCGCATAGCAACGCAGAGTCCATTATCGAAGACGCCTTCGGCGAATCGCCGCCGCCCCCGACCGCCCCCTGCCTTTTTGAAGAGCGCGTCCGTGACCAGACGTGTTGGCCCAGAGTTTTGACGAATTATCACAGCAGGTGCTGCCCGAGTAGCTGTGGATTTTTTTTCTGGGGACACGTGGGCGAGGAAGAGGAGGATGAGGATAGGGAGGAACAAGGAGGAAGAGGAGGAGGACGGAGGAGGAGGAGGAGGAGGAGGAGGAGGACGCCTCTTGGGATCCTCTCGCGTCATTCCTGGGGCCTTCTGGGAGCTTCCTGGGGGCCTCTTGCAGGCCTCTTGGAGGCCTCCTCGGACCGCTTGAGTGTCTTTGAGAGCTTCTCGGGGACCTCGTTGGCTGTCTTACGGCAGTCCTGGCCCGTCTGACGCCGTCGGAGACTGTTTTGGGGGCTTCTGTGGGCCGTCTTGGGGCCTTCTGGGGACGCTTACGAGCCGTCTTGTAGGCCATCTTGGGCCTCTTGGAGGCCTTTTTGGCGCCGTCTTCGGGGGCCCTTTGGGAGCTGTCTTGGGACCCTCGTGGGCCGTCTTGGGGCCATCTTGGAGGTTTCTGGGGTGATTCTGGGGCAATCTTGGGGCCTCTTGGGCCGTGTCGGCGCCGTCGGGAGGAAAGCATGTGATTTGTGCCCCTTCGGGCCTTCCTGTAGGACCTCTGGGAGGCTTCCTGGACCGTCTTGAGGCCATCTTCGGCCGTCTAGGGTGCATCTTGGACCGTCCTGGAGGAAGCTTGCGACCGCCTTGGAGGCATGTCAGGGGAGAGTATCGGGCCACACTTGGCCTCGTGTAGGCCATCTTGAGCCATCTTGGGAGGATTGCTTGTGGACGCTGAGGATGTTTCCCGCCCTTGTGCGGACATCGGGGGCGGCGGCATCTGCTGAAGCCCCAGGGCGATGTCCAACAGACGTCTAGCACGCCAGGCACCTCTGTGGAAAGACCACTGGGGGGCGGCGGATCGAATGGCGTCCAGCCCATCCCGCCACTGGGACTGGGTTGTAGCTCATGGGCCTTTAGGACGTCCGCTGGAATGTCGCGGGAGGCCTCTCGGGGGCCGTGTTGAGGCCTCTTTGGGGCCGTTTTGGGGCCTCTTGAGGTGTCTTCGGGGCCTCTAGGGCGTCTCTGGGGGCCTCTGGGGGCCTCCTGGGGCCTCTTGGGGAGGAAGGCTCGGATTTTCAGTTCGTGTTCCCTCTCTTGGGCCCTTGTTGGGGCTGCCTTTGGGCAATCTAGGGCCGTCCTGGGCGCTTTGGGGCCGTCTTGGAGCCTTCTTGCGCCGTGTTGGGGCCCTCCTGGGCCGTCTTGGGGCGGTCCTGGGGGCCTCTTTGGCCGTGTTGGAGCTTCGGGAGCTCAGAAAGTCGAGGACCCCGGAAACAGTGAATAACCGGTGGCAAATCCATGATTCTTGCCTCTTGACGCCTTCTTGGAGTTCCTCTTGGGCCACTCCCTGGGAGTCTTGGAGGATTCTTGGGCCATCTTGAGGCCATCTTGGGGACCCTGGAGCGATCTTTTAGCGGCTAGGGCCCCTCTTGGACCGTCTACAAGGCCTTCTGAGCCCCACTTCGACCGATTTGGAGCCCTGCAGTGCCCGAAGAGGTCATGCGGGAGGACGCCCCGGGCGCGTGGGCGTCCGCCAGGCCCCCGAAGAATCCTCGGGATCGAAGGCTGAGGCTCGCGCCCACGCCGTGCCCAAGAGGCGCGCTGGCGCATCCCAGAACAGAAGAGAACGGAGCACTCGTCGCCTCAGAGAACAGAGCATCCACGTCACGCTGCAGACTCGAGCGTTCCTGGACATAGCAGAGAAAGAGAGAACATTCGCGACCTTCTGACGGCGCCCTATCAAACGCGACGTGCGCGCCCAAATCGGGCTGGTCGCATGAACAGAGAGGCACCGTAACGACCCATTGGCCAACGTGTCAAAGGTAACAGGCGTATACTAGAATCTAACATCACTGAATAGAAACTTGTTGAAGTCCGTAGAATACAGAAGCGACCGGTGGCCAGCGGGGCCCCATCCACCGTGACATGCGAGCCGACGCAAGGCTGGTCACATGAACAAGCAGGTGTAGCAGCGACCGATGAGACGACAGGTGAAACGTGACAGGCGTCACGACGTCACGCCGCCTCGTCGGGAGCAGAGAGGACAGAACCGAAGATAATGTGATAGGGTAGACTGAAGCAGCGACCGAGTAACGGCACCTCATCAAACGCGACAGGCGTGCCGATCTCAGGCCGGCCACAGCAGCGAACATCACCACCTTAGGGAGCAAATGCCGAAGCTTGCAGTGATGATCGGTCGAAGCAGCATCATGTGTTTCCCTCTCTGGATCCGCAACGCCCACTACACGGGTCCGCCCGTCGCCCAGACGCGCATCGCTACCGGTCGTACTGTTTCGGGCTTGCCGGGCCCGCCTGTCTCAACGTGGCGCTCAGCTGCAGCGCGCGAACACAGTGAGGCTCACTGGCCTCGTGGTGCTCACAGGCACGGCGATGCACACCCGGTGGCGTTGCCTGAGGGGCGTGGTGTGACGAGGCAACGCGCACGTTGCTGCTCACAGGCTTGCTGAGGAGCACAGTTCCACACCGATTTAGGCGCACTCATCACACATTTTGTACCAGAGGGTGCTCCGCCGAAGGTCAAAGCGGCAGTCCGCATGCAGTTCCACTGCCATTCCGGCGCACCACTCACACGTTTCGTGGCCCCATGGGGTGCTCCACCGAAGACCCAAATGACAGGGTCCGCATGCAGTTCCACCTCCATTTCGGCGCACCATTCAAACGTTTCGTGGCCCTGACCTCGCCCCAACCAGGTGCCGACACATGCACTCCCGTCTGGACCCACGACGGCCACCGAGTGCGCTTCATTGCTCGCAGAGTGCCTGCTCGCAGACGTCCGCAAGACGTATGCTTGCCCCGACGTGCTGCATCGTAGATCTCTGGCGGCGGATCCAGGCCATCTGCGAGCAGCTGCTCTGCGAGATGTTCCTTCCGGCCAACTTGTTTCACAATTTTGTGTTTGGTAGCCAGCCGACAGCTCGAAACGAAGCAGAAACAACCAAGAGAAGATTTGAGACAAGTAGCAGGGTGCCAATAGTTGGTTGGCCTCAGCAGTGGAGCGCGCTTGTCCCGATGCGAGGCATCGTAGATCCCTGGCGGCGGCTCCAGGCCATCTGCGAGCAGCTGCTCTGCGAGATGTTCCTGCCGGCCAACTTGTTTCACAATCTTGTGTTTGGCAGCCAGCCTACAGCTCGAATCAAGCAGAAAAAAACCCAGAGAAGATTCGAGGAAAGTCGCAGGGTGCCAATAGTTGGTTGGCCTCAGCAGTGCAACGCGCGCTTGTCCAGACGGGCGGGCCTCCGCAGCCCTTTGGCTTCGAGCGGCGCTTCCGTTCTCGGCGACCTGCGGCCGGGGGCCGCCCTCCCAGACCCCCCCGACGCCCCGCAACTTTTTCCTCCCTGCGGCGGCCCCCGAGGCCTCGTCCCCTTCCCCGGGACCGGTCTCTCGTCCTGGGGCGTTTCTTCTGACGGCCCCGAAACCTCGCCTCGACCCCTTCCCCAGGACCGGTGTCTCGTCAAGGGGCGTTTCCTGACGGCCCCGAGGGCCAGGGAAGGCCCTCTGGAGCCCGAAAAAGTATAGAAAACAAAAAGCCTCCCCTCGCGATTTGTGTTCATGCCCCGAGGGGGCGTCTGGTTTCGCTCCGCACAGCGCGCGGTGGGACCGCTTCGGGGGCCGCATGTGAGCCCTACCCTTCTACCCCCCCACCGATTTCCGAGGGGAGGGTGGGGCTCCCTTCGCTCGGGAGCCCCCGAACGAGGTGAACCCCACCCTCCCCCTCGGAAATCGGTGGGGCTTATGGGTAGGGTTCGCATGGGGCCCCCTGTGGAGAAAAACCTCCCCTCGTGATTTCTGTCGCTGCCCGAAGGGGGCGTCTGGCTTCGCTCCGCACAGCGCGCGGCGGGACCTCCTGCACACCATGGCGGCAGCGCGCCGCTGCCGGGCGCCGCGGCGTGGCCCGGGGCGCGGCCCCGGCCCCGCGCTGCTGGCTCTGGCCGGGGCCCTCGCCGCGGCGGCCGCCCGCCCGGCGGCCTGGAGCGCCTCCCGCGGGCGGGCCCCGCGGTCCGGCACCGGGCGGGTCGCCCGCGCGGCGAAGGGGGGGGGTGCTGCTGCGGTGCAGGAGGGCCTGGCTCAAGCAGCGGCGAAGCGTCCTGGCTCGCCTGTAGCCCCACCGAGCAGTGTTCTAAGCACCTGTGGTGGTTTCCACGAGGTGCTCTCAGAGCAGTTCTGGCGGAGTCTGTCTGGTGTTAACACATCGGGCTTGTGTTCTGAAGGCACTGCCTTTGTTCTTAGAGCATGGTTGGGTTCTAAGAACACTTCGTGGTAGGGCTACAGTCAGGAGGGGGAACAAACACACAGACACAATTAATCGTGCATTCCCAGGAAAATATAGGAAAATATTGGAAGTGGGGGGGGAAGACAGAAATTCAAAAAATATGGGAAAATATGGGGAATCATTTTATTTGTGTGTATTTATTTGTGTCTCCTGGGGCCCCTTCATACAGGAATGCCGGGACGGTCGGTCCCTGCTCAAACCCGGCTGCGCGCGCAAGGGTTGGGAGAGGTCATCGAAGTTTCTGCTCGTCTTGCGTTGGAGGCATGGTCGGCGAAGCGTGTCCACCAGTAGTGCCCAGGAGCTCCAAGTGGCACCCAACACTTAACGGGCGAAGAACGATATAAAACAAACTTGTTCGCCGTCGGGGACACCTGCCCCTGGGCGGCTGGAAAGTTTATACCCCTACGGTGCCACCGTAAGGGTATAAACTTTCCAGCCGCCCAGGGGCAGATGTCCCCGACGGCAAAAAAGTTTATTTTATACCGTTCTTCGCCCGCTAAAATAGTAGTGCCCAGGAGCTCCAAGTGGCACCCAACACTGCCCGGTCGCGCCAGACAGTGTCCAGATAGCGCCACGCACGGTGCCGAAATGGCGCCCTAGCATTTCGCCCGCTTTGCGCGCTACTGGGAGCGAGATTGGGCGCCATGGGGGCGACCAAGAGCTTCGTGTGAGTTGCGTTCTAACTAAAGGGGGCGGGGCGCGCATGTTGCGGCCTTCCGAGGATCGCCGGCGAGACCGGGGGAGAAGTGTGAAGGGGCGGGCCTTCTCAGAGGGCTCGGAAGTCCCCCAGTTCTCTGAGCCTTCCCCGAGTACACAGAACATGTCCCAGAAGGCGTCAGGGTTTCAGAGAAGTCCGGCCGGCCGCCTTTGACAAGGCCTCTTCCTTCTCACTTCCCCCCCTCGCTCGCCGCCGAAGAAGGGTTGGCGCGAGTGCCGCGGCCCTCTGAGTGGGAATGGGGGGCTTCTCAGTGGGATAGGGCCCTCCTAGAGGGGCCCGGAGGCTTGCAACGAAGGCCTCTCGGGAGCCAAGGGTCGAGCAGTTTCAAGGCTTCCTGGCTTGCCTATGGGCCCACCAAAGAGTGTTCTAAGCGCCTTTTGCGCTCTGCACGGCATGTTCTGAGAACATGTTTGGTTGAGACTGTCTTGTTGTAGCACATCGGGCCTCTGTTTCAATAGCAGTTTTTGTTTTTAAAACATTTGTTGGTAGGACAATAGGAATGCGGGGACGGTCGGTCTCTGCTCATGTTTCAGAAACCCCCGATTTCGTAGAAGACCGCCTTCTTTGCATACACTTGCGGGCACCGCCAAGGAGGATTGGCTGCGCGACGTCCTGGGTCGGGTGGACGACGAGGAGGTGGACCGTCTCTTCAGCAAGTACGACCCGGACAACTCGAATACGATCGACAGGGAGGATTGGTTGACCCAAAGAGGGTCCAGCGACAAGAGAGTGGTGCAATAGATTTGGTGCAACAGATCTGTGCGGCTGCGATAGATTTAGGCCGTGCAACGCATTCTAGTGCGCAGGTATACTGCTGGATTTGTTCGCGTGCGGTAAATGAGTTGCCATACCGCTCAATACAGTTCTCCAGCGCAGTACCCTGGCAACAATTGCCCCAATAGGGGAACGAACAATGACATAAGCATGAAAACTCGGAGGTCCGCGCGGATTTTTTGGATCCGCGCTGACCCCGCAGAGCGTGCCAGGGGTCCCCAGCGCTGATCCGAGAAATCCGGACCACCGAATAACTGTGTTTATGTCATTGTTCGTGTTCCTACCCAAATCTACTGCACGTCCCCCAGCTGGACACCCTCTTGGAGCCAACCAACTGAGGAGTTCGGGGCGATCGCGAATGAGATGAAGGCCGACGAGGCGCGCCGCACCGTGGTGGCCGTCCTCGGAGCGGCGCTGGGCGGCGTGTTTGTGGGCACCCTCGGCCAGCAGTACCAGATCGCCCAGAAGGTATCGGGAGGAGAAACAACTCCCGGCCCAGACCCCCCTCGGGCATCGAAGAAAAGCAACGGCATCAACATAATCTTGTGGTGCTCCGCGCGGATTTCTTGGATCCGCGCCTGGGTTCTCCCCGCGGCGCCTCCGGCGCCGCCCTTGGCGCTCTCCGCGCGCCGGGTAGGAGGGTCCAGCGTAGATCCAAGAAATCCGTGCGGAGTGCCAAAGGTTCTGTTTATGTTTTATTTCCACCTCGGAGGAGAACAAGCTACCCATTCCTCTGCCCTTCGCCCGTTTTCCCTTTGTTAAGCCTCTTGGGAGGCCCTCGTCGCCACCACTGGATTCTCCTCGACATCCTGGTCAGAACGCACCCTGGGCGAGGTCCGGGGAGTAGCGGTATCGGTACCTTTTGGTCTCCCCAGGCCTTTCGCCGTTTCTACATCTCCCCTCCCGCCGAGCGGTCCATGAACGCCTTCTTCCCGACCGCCCTTCTGGCCGACGACGTGAACAGGGCAGTCTCGGACGTGCTCGGCAAGCGCGGCTACACCTCCCAGAACACGCTGTACGCCCAGAGCATGTGCCCAGACGAGATCAACTCCAAGGCTTAAGTCGGGCATGTCCCTCTACAGGAGGAATATTCAATAATGGTGAAAACATAATATGGGGACGATTTTTCTGGTATGTTTGAATATATTTCCGCTATTTTGTATGTTTCCTTCCAAACCCCCCTGTAGGAGGACATGCCCGACCTGATCGAAGGCCCAGGAGCTCGTCGCTCTCATGCAGGGTGAGTGGGGCGAGGCCTTCGCGCTCGGCGGTTTAGCAGGCCTGCCGTTCGCCGGCAAGTCGGGTTTCGAGGCGTTCCTGCACCACACGCCCGTGGACGGCAAGATCCTCATCTGCTTCGCGCCGCACGTCGGCATCAATGCCGACGGCGTTGTCGGCAGCCACCTCCGGGAGGGGCAGGTGAAGTCTTCCACGGCCTGCGGCGCGGCAGTCGGCGCGTTCAACGCCATCACGAAGCCCGGCGGCGGCAACAGCGACAACGATCTGGGCCTGGCGTACGACGCTCAGGAGAAGTACATCGTAGAGAACTTGCGCCCGCTGCTTCCGGGGATCGAGGCTTCTCAAGACAAGATAGCCTATGTCACCTACCAGACATACAACATCGCGCGCGACCTCATGCTTGATACCCTGAAGGGTATTCCCGACATCTACGACTGGTGCGATGAGCTGGCAGTCGTCGGGGGCATCATGATCAACCGCAACAAGGGTGGGGACTTCTTCCAGCCCCTTACGTTTGAGGCCAGGGGTGGACCTAAGCGATGTTTGGGTGGTCCCGTGGGCCGTTTTCGTTTCGATATCGCTCTGCAGCAGAGGCGGACTGCAGGCAAAACGAGGAAAAACGACACCAAAACGAAAACGAACAACAAAACGAAGCCGAGGGACAACGAAATACAAGACCCCTGGCGTCTTGCAGGCCAAGAGCCGGGACGGTGTGCTGACCGACCTGTACCAGCAGGCTTTCGGGCCCCGCCCCGAGCTCGCGCAGGTGCTGGGGTCCGACGCAAAAGCGAAACAGGTGCTCTCGCCAGGCGGATGGTAAATAGTATCTTCGGCGGCGAGCGAGGGGGAGAAGTAAAAAGGATCCAGACCCATTTGCGTCTTGCAAAATCACGATGGGAAGCTTTTCTATATTTTCGGCCTCCAGGGGCCCTTACTTGGCCCCGGGACCGTTGAATGAATATCTCGGGATGAAACATTCGTCCTTGGAAAGGGGTCCTGCACCCTGGTGGTCGACGTTGTGAAAAAAATCAAGATTTCGGGGGTCTGGGGACGAAGAAGGCCCTCTCACAAGGTGGCGGGACTTCTCAGTTCTCAGAAACCCTCGCGCCTTCTGAGAGGTTTGCTGTGCCTTCCCGGAGGGCTCAGAACTCAGAAGGCCGGCGGACTTCCGTGCCTTCTTGGAAGGCCCGCCCCTTCTCACTTCTCCCCTGGGCTCGCCGCCGACATCAGTCCTGGGCGGGTGTTCGTGCACGCTCCTGTCGGAGGAGGGGTGGTGTCGCTCCGGTGCGGCACTGCTGAGCCTTGCCGCATGCGTACAGGAAGCCGCGTTCCCGAAGGCTCTGATCGATCACGGCCCGCGTGCGTGGACACATCCACAAAAGTACTATTTGTGAGACATATATGTGTATATATTTACAGGTATACACGTATATCAATAAACATTTGAATACATACATATATACACAATTACAGCATACAGCTACACTATATATATGTATGTAGATGTAGACAGATGTATGAATTCGCCCGTGTATATAGCACCCCGCATTTGCGGATAAGAGTGAGGGGGCGGGCGCGGGCGACGCGGGCGTCGTCAAGCCGGCGGACCTCGTGGCCCCCACCTTCCTTGTCGATGGCGCTCTCCTCCTCCTCCTCCTCCTCCTCCTCCTCTTCCTCCTCCTCCTCCTCCGCCTCCTACTCCTCCTCCTCTTCCTCGTCCTCGTCCTCGTCCTCATCGTCATCGTCGTCCTCCTCCTCCACCTCGTCCTCCTCCTCCTCCGCTTCTTCCTCGTCCTCCCTCTCCCCCCTCGTCCTTCCATCATCGTCCTCCCATTGTCGTCATGTTCCTCCTCGTCGTCCTCCTCCTCTTCCCCCCCTCCCGATCCTCCACCCTCCTCCTTTTCGTCGTCGTCGTCGTCGTCGACGTCATCGTCGTCGTCCCCTTCCTCCTCCTCCTCCTCCTCCTGCTGCTGCTGCTCCTCCTCCTCCTCCTCCTGCTGCTCCTCCTCCTCCTCCTCCTCCTCCTCCTCCTCCTCCCCCTCCTCGTCCTCCTGCAAAAGCAGCCCGCCGCAGGCGCCGAAAAAATTGGTTTGTACACTGAACGTGGTTTGGGTCGCGGGTGGGCCGCGGGTTCTCCACCGGGAACGAATGCAAAAGATGCTCGCCGCAGGCGCCGAAAAAATTGGTTTGTACCCTGAACGTGGTCGCGGGTGGGCCGCGGTCTCTCCACCTAGAACGATTCAAAAGATGCCCGCCGCAGGCGCCGAAAAATGTGGTTTGTACCCTGAACGTGGTTTGGGTCGCGGGGTGGGTCGCGGGCTCTCCACCTGGAAGGAATGCAAAAAAAGCCCGCCGCAGGCGCCGAACATGTTGGTTTGTGGTTTGGGTTGACGGTGGGTCGCGGGTGGGTCGCGGGGTGAGTCGCGGGTGGGTCGCGGGTGGGTCGCGGGTGGGTCGCGGGCGGGTCGCGGGTGGGTCGCGGGGTGGGCCGCGGGCGGGTCGCAGGGTGGGTCGCAGGGTGGGTCGCGGGGTGGGTCGCGGGGTGGGTCGCGGGGTGGGCGGGGTGGGTCGGGTGGGTCGCGGGTGGGTCGCGGGTGGGTCGCGGGTGGGTCGCGGGTGGGTCGCGGGTGGGTCGCGGGGTGGGTCGCGGGTGGGTCGCGGGGCGGGTTGCGGGTGGGACGACGACAACAACAACAACAACAACAACAACAACAACAACAACAACAACAACAACAACAACAACAACAACAACAACAATCACTTTACCCGAACGCTCAGTGTTCTCACCAGTGCCAGGGTTTTCATGCGACGCCAGCCAATACCCCCACTTTGTGGGGGGGCAGTGCAAGCTCTACCAAATATCCACACGACTCTTCGCCACCACCCACACCCAGCTTCCCGCCCTATGACGTTCGGACACTTCACTTCGTGGCCTGCGGACGACCGTGGCTACTACACTGGCGTGGAGTACACACCCACAGAAGTTGTTAAGCCTACGTTCGTACACCCACAGAAGTTGTTAAGCCTTGTTAACCCACAGAAGTTGTTAAGCCTTCCACAGAACATCTGTTGCATATGATGCATATGGTACATGATACACATGATACACATGATACGTACTCACAAGATAGTTGATCACATCTTTAGGGCAAATTCCTGAGGGATGTGGGAATACACAAGAGAGAGAGGATATGGTTGTCCCGATGGTTGTCTCGATGGTTGTCCCGATGGTTGTCCTGATGGTTGTGGTTGTCCCGATCGTTGTCCCGATGATTGTCCCGATGGTTGTCCTGATGGTTGTGCTTGTCCCGATCGTTGTCCCGATGACTGTCCCGATGATTGTCCCGATGGTTGTCCCGATGGTTGTTCCGATGGTTGTCCCGATGGTTGTCCCGATGGTTGTGAGCGATTCGTGTGATTTTATGATGCGCGGTGCTAAAATTCTTAAGAAGCCCAATGGTTTTTGGAGATTTCGGCGTGCGCGCGCGAAGAAAAAACGAATGTGTCCCGCATGGTATTATTTGACAGGGATGATGGCCCTGGCAGGTGCGCAACCGTTGTCGCAGAAGTTCGAAAAAGTTGCTCGCAAAAGCCCGTTTGACAGAAATGTTTAAAAAGTGTTGGGTTTCCTACGAATCCGCAAGAGCGCGCGGGATGAGATTTTGACAGTTTTTTGTTGAAAAACCATTGGTTTTTTGATGTTTTTATGTTAAAATCGCTGCGAACACTAAGGTTTTGGAAGGATTTCGTCTTGCGCGCGCGAATGTCCACTTTACCTTATTTTTTGCAAGGGATTCTTGAAATTTGATTATATTAGAACAAGAAATGTCATTTTCTATTGTTTTTTGCAAGGGAAAGCGGATTACAACAAAACAACCGGATCCTGTACACACCCTCTTTTCTGAGGCTTCCTCACGAAAATGATGAAAATGTAGCTGCGGCCTAGGCGGCGCAGGGGGGGCGCGCACCAGGGGGCCCAACAATAATTATTTTTTAGAATAAATGATGTTCAACAACCACAACAACAAAAACAACAAACAACAAACAACAAACAACAAACAACAACAACAACACGAATCCGCACCGCGGAATCTCACTTCAGCCACGCACCCAGGGACAATGAATGACCGTTCGGCCCCCTCACTCTGATATATACATATATAGCACCCCGCAATTGCGGATAAGAGTGAGGGGGCGGGCGCGGGTTACGCGGGCGTCGTTAAGCCGGCGGACCTCGTGGCCCCCACCTTCCTTGTCGATGGCGCTCTCCTCCTCCTCCTCCTCCTCTTCCTCCTCCTCCTCCGCCTCCTACTCCTCCGCCTCTTCCTCGTCCTCGTCCTCGTCCTCATCGTCATCGTCGTCCTCCTCCTCCACCTCGTCCTCCTCCTCCTCCTCCGCTTCTTCCTCGTCCTCCCTCTCCCCCCTCGTCCTTCCATCATCGTCCTCCCATTGTCGTCATGTTCCTCCTCGTCGTCCTCCTCCTCTTCCCCCCCTCCCGATCCTCCACCCTCCTCCTTTTCGTCGTCGTCGTCGTCGTCGACGTCATCGTCGTCGTCCCCTTCCTCCTCCTCCTCCTCCTCCTGCTGCTGCTGCTCCTCCTCCTCCTCCTCCTGCTGCTCCTCCTCCTCCTCCTCCTCCTCCTCCTCCTCCTCCCCCTCCTCGTCCTCCTGCAAAAGCAGCCCGCCGCAGGCGCCGAAAAAATTGGTTTGTACACTGAACGTGGTTTGGGTCGCGGGTGGGCCGCGGGTTCTCCACCGGGAACGAATGCAAAAGATGCTCGCCGCAGGCGCCGAAAAAATTGGTTTGTACCCTGAACGTGGTCGCGGGTGGGCCGCGGTCTCTCCACCTAGAACGATTCAAAAGATGCCCGCCGCAGGCGCCGAAAAATGTGGTTTGTACCCTGAACGTGGTTTGGGTCGCGGGTTGGTCGCGAGTTGGTCGCGGGGTGGGTCGCGGGCTCTCCACCTGGAAGGAATGCAAAAAAAACCCGCCGCAGGCGCCGAAAATGTTGGTTTGTGGTGGTTTGGGTCGACGGTGGGTCGCGGGTGGGTCGCGCGGGTGGGTCGCGGGTGGGTCGCGGGCGGGTCGCGGGTGGGTCGCGGGTGGGTCGCGGGGTGGGGGGTGGGTCGCGGTGGGTCGCGGGTCGCGGGGTGGGTCGCGGGTGGTCGCGGGGTGGGTCGCGGGGTGGGTCGCGGGTGGGTCGCGGGTGGGTCGCGGGTGGGTCGCGGGTGGGTCGCGGGTGGGTCGCGGGGTGGGTCGCGGGTGGGTCGCGGGGCGGGTTGCGGGTGGGACGACGACAACAAACAACAACAACAAACACCATCATCAACAACAACAACAAACAACAAACAACAAACAACAAACAACAAACAACAACAACAACACCAACACCAACACCAACAACAACAACAACACGAATCCGCACCGCGGAATCTCACTTCAGCCACGCACCCAGGGACAATGAATGACCGTTCGGCCCCCTCACTCTGATAAATAATCAGAGCTGTTCGTATATGTGTATATGTATGTGCGTGTTCCTATTTCTGAGCTAGCCATTTGAAATTCGAGTGCGATCCAGAGCTACGCGTATCCACCTTCAACATCAAAGGCATTAAGACAATGCGGTGGAGCGAGAGACCGTCGAGCATACTATGAGCTTAAAAACATAATCATGCTGTGGCACAACACTCATGTGCACCAGAATGTGAAGGAGGTGCTGCTGCACGACACGTGGTTCTTCAGCGGAGACGAAGCCGTTGGCTCCCCGAATACGTCTGCACGAGTTGCTACCGTCATCAGCAATTATTCAATATCTTACAT